ACGAAGTTATATCGGAATTCTCAGCTAAATTCTATCCGCTCCATCATCGACGGCTTTCAACCTTTTTTTCTTCGTCAACCATTATCCTCTTTTTCCCGGTCTCCGGACTGCTTCCGGACAATAAATCTCGTGGCAAACTCCGCCTACTTCGGTGCGTGCCCCGCCCACCAATAGCATTTGGCCCCCTTCCTTTCGCCGACCTCTACCCCCTTTTTCACCGGTCTCTGGGACCTCTTGGAACCAAATTACGACACTTTTGGCAAACTCCGCCCACTTAGGTGCGTGCTCCGCCCACTAATAGCAGTTGACCTCTCTTTCCTTCGCCGACCTCTATCCACTTTTTTCTCCGTTCCAGGACTTCTTGGAACCGAGTTATAATTTTCGCGGCAGATAACTCCGTACCCACTCCGTTTGTGCATGCCCCACCCACCATTAGCGCGAGGTCGATCTTCACTTTGCTATCTCGTACCTGAACACTCACATATACTCCAACTGTGAGGATATCCCCGTCTTCTGGAACTTCTTGGAGCCGAATTACAATTTCGGCGCAAAACTCCGCCCACATTGGCGCACGCTCCACCCACCCGTAGCAGTTAACTTCTCTTTCTTTGCTGACCTCTATCCACTTCTTTCCCGTTCTCCAGGACTTCTTGGAACCGAGTTATGAATTTCCCTCCGCCACTTTGGACATGCCCCGCCCACCAATATTATTTAAGCTGCATTAGAGTTGAACCCACCTCTATCACCTTTCTCCTGCTTCTAAGCGACTTCTCTCGGAACCGTATTATTCTGGTATACTATTGTTTGATTTACTAAATAGAGCCTACCTGTATAGCTATTTCTTTCGACGACGCACATATTGGTTCATGTCCCGCCTAGTGGCAGTCCGCTTTTCTGATGTGTTGACGCCACTTTTCCCTATTGAATGCCTGATCGGGATGGATACCAGCTAACTTTAAGTCACTGCAACGTATCGAGCCAGCGCTGCTTTGGACGTCCCTTGGGCCGCTTTCCGGGCACGTCTATGTTGAAGGCCCATCTACGCACACTGTTATCGTTTCCACGATGCTGTGACTATAACGAGCTACGCGCATTTTATCAGTAACCAGTTGGCGCCGCACGCATTGCGCGCACAACACAGATCTGCGGCGAATTTTGATGGTGCGACGAAAATTTTCAAATTTGGCTTGATACACCACGAATATCTGAATTCTCAGCTAAATTCTATCCGCTCCATCATCGACGGCTTTCAACCTCTTTTTCTTCGTCAACCATTATCCTCTTTTTCTCGGTCTCCGGACTGCTTCCGGACAATAAATCTCGTGGCAAACTCCGCCTACTTCGGTGCGTGCCCCGCCCACCAATAGCATTTGGCCCCCTTCCTTTCGCCGACCTCTACCCCCTTTTTCACCGGTCTCTGGGACCTCTTGGAACCAAATTACGACACTTTTGGCAAACTCCGCCCACTTAGGTGCGTGCTCCGCCCACTAATAGCAGTTGACCTCCTTTCCTTCGCCGACCTCTATCCACTTTTTTCCCGCCTCTCCAGGACTTCTTGGAACCGAGTTATAATTTTCGTGGCAACTCCGCCCACTTTGGTGCATGCCCCGCCCACCAATAGCAGTTGACCTCCTTTCCTTCGCCGACCTCTATCCACTTTTTTCCCGGTCTCCGGACTTCTTGGAGCCGAATTACAATTTCGGCGCAAACTCCGCCCACATTAGCGCACGCTCCACCCACCCGTAGCAGTTAACTTCTCTTTCTTTGCTGACCTATATCCACTTTTTTCCCGTTCTCCAGGACTTCTTGGAACCGAGTTATGAATTTTCCCTCCGCCCACTTTGGACATGCCCCGCCCACCAATGATATTTAAGCTCCACTCCTCCACCCACCTCTATCCACCTTTTTCCCGGTCTCCGGGACTTCTTGGAACCGAGTTATGAATTTCCGTCGCAAACTCCGCCCACCCCGCCCACCAATGACAGTTGACCTCCACTCCTCCACCCACCTCTATCCACCTTTTTCTGGCTCACTAAGACTTCTCCGGCCCGAATTATGAGGACTTGTAGAAAACGCTGTACGAGCGCGCTCCGCCCATTGTGGGCGGACCTCCGCCCACGTCATGTATGCTGGGAACACCTTAGACATTGCTCCCCTACACCAATTTGTTTTCTGTAGGCTTTCTCCCAACCGAGTTATGAAATTTTTCATAAAGCACTGCTTTTTTGGAGAACGCCCCGCCCACCGGGGTGGGTCTCCTAATTCGATCTGACTTACCAATGCACACCTTACCCACTTTTGTCCCAGTTTCGAGGCTGTTTTGTATAGACTGAAATCTTGGTCGTCAGTACGATCACGCCACGCCCACTGTGGGCGGGGCTCCGCTTAGCTGATGTGTGTTTTGTACTTCGTGAGACCTTGCCCACCCATCCCACACTTGACCCGGTCTCCTCCAGGCGGATCCCGAGGAGCTAGGGAATTTCGTGACAGACATACAGACGACAGACGACAGACGACAGACGACAGACGACAGACGACAGACGACAGACGACAGACGACAGACGACAGACGACAGACGACAGACGACAGACGACAGACGACAGACGACAGACGAGCGAGACAGACGACAGACGACAGACGACAGACGACAGACGACAGACGACAGACGACAGACGACAGACGACAGACGGACAGACGACAGACGCCGAAGCGCTTTATAGTTAAGTAGGATAGGAGATGCACCAAAGCGATCTCTTATGGTTCCATCACGATACGATCTAAGCGCGTGGCACCGGCCGTCCAGCGCAGCATTTTCGTCTCCATTACATCGAGACGAGCTTCTTTGTCTTTAGTCGTGGGCAGGGGTGAATATCGGTCGAGGAAATCCTCGACAGGGGGGTCGTACCTGTTGGGCTGGTCCATGGGGGGTCGTACTATTTGAAGGCGTATTTGAAGGCAGTACAAAGAATGAAAGTGCATCCCCGCAAAGAAGAGTGCCACATGTGCGCACGCGCTGCAAAGGCACCTCCTCCGCCTATCACTCGCTCCTTCTCCCTTAATACCTCGCTGAGAATGACGCTGTTGTTAGGGACCCTGTCGGAAAAACGACAACCGTGAAGAAAAAGCGCTGGGCAAATGAAGTTGTTTTTAGGTTACAGGAATAGCACAACACACTATGTCTACTACAATACAGTTTCGTTCGAAGGTCCCCATCATATAACACCTTTCAATCGATTCTGCAACTGTGAGTGGAGGAGGGATGCATGGCTTATACCAATACCAAATCGGATGATGACGATTGCTCCTATTCTTATTGTTTGCGTTCAAAGATATTGTTCTAGACACATTCCGAGTGTTGCCAACGAGTCACACTTGCAATGGTGAATGAGGGAGCGGATTTCCAGGTGGCCGGATCCGTCCTCGATAGATCCTCGACGCAATTATCTCTTCAACCAAAAAGCTGTAGAAGAAAACTAAACAGACCATCAGGAAGCGCAAACCTTCCGCTTTCCAAAACTATCTTCCCTTTTTCAGGATCTTACAATATAAGAGATATATTGCTCTTGAAGTGGCAAAAACTCGCGTGAAAATTTCGGCCTCCTCGACATTTACTCGACGAAATTTGACAGACCCTATCTTTCTGCAAGGAAGGCTTCCAGAGCAATTTCGATGCTTGTTGGAAACGCGAAATCCAGCTCTATCTAACTCTACCTCAAGCTGCTTCAAAGGTTGTGAAATGGAGGAATGCAACCTTTTCATCGAGGGTGTAGATTCGGACGTTTTTTTTTGAAATTTCGGCAAATCTGACCCAGTGACAATCGCGCCGCAGCTGCCGTTGAATCGGCCTTTGATACACTCGGCTGTTTTGATATACTCAAGCAAGAATCAAGATTGAATCGCAACCCCGTGTCTTCAGGATTTCTGTGCGTTTCTGAACGAACCTCGCCTTGAGGTCACACAAAGTTAATGCCTCTTTCCTCGAGTCGATATTTCAGTATGTACACAAAAGTATGCAGCGATGGAAGACGTGCATAGATGACAAGATGAAGCGTCCTTAGCATTATTTTGCAGAATTTTTTTTGATTTGTTTTGCAGGATTTATTTTAATTGAATTAATTTGCTCTGTTAGAGGGGGTCGTGCCAGGATCTCGATTTCGGGGGGGGGGTCGTACCTCTGCGACCACGTACTCGACACGATTTTCACCCTGCTTGAGGGTGGTAATTCGTATCGAGGAAATCCTCGACAGGGGGGTCGTACCTGTTGGGCTGGTCCATGGGGGGTCGTACTATTTGAAGGCGTATTTGAAGGCAGTACAAAGAATGAAAGTGCATCCCCGCAAAGAAGAGTGCCACATGTGCGCACGCGCTGCAAAGGCACCTCCTCCGCCTATCACTCGCTCCTTCTCCCTTAATACCTCGCTGAGAATGACGCTGTTGTTAGGGACCCTGTCGGAAAAACGACAACCGTGAAGAAAAAGCGCTGGGCAAATGAAGTTGTTTTTTAGGTTACAGGAATAGCACAACACACTATGTCTACTACAATACAGTTTCGTTCGAAGGTCCCCATCATATAACACCTTTCAATCGATTCTGCAACTGTGAGTGGAGGAGGGATGCATGGCTTATACCAATACCAAATCGGATGATGACGATTGCTCCTATTCTTATTGTTTGCGTTCAAAGATATTGTTCTAGACACATTCCGAGTGTTGCCAACGAGTCACAC